CGTGTGCATTTCTCAGCTACCAACATGGCTGCTTACTGCAGAGCTGGAGAGTGATCTCTGGGAGAAGTCAGGATGCTTGGCTCACTTTGAAGCTCTCAGTGCTGGACATATAGGATATATCTGCCAGGGTCATCTTTTTCACTGACATGTAACTAGTCTTCTATACAAATGGGCAATGTGTGTGGATGTGTGCGAGCTGAGAAGGAGGAACACTATTTCGATCCTACAAAGACTCCTTTTAGTCCTGGAAAGAATTCTTCAGGCAGAAGATTTTTTAGAAGAAGAAAGTCAGACAAAAGGAAAGAAGCTGAGAACTGCGATGGAGCAAAGGCTACAGAAGTTGCAACAGAGAGTAATAGAGACAGATATATTCCTGAGGATTTCTTTTTGGGTGTCACTACTAAAACATCGCCTATCGTACAGCGATCCCCAAAGTATGTCTCCAGCATCCGATCCGCAGGCGCGGACAGCCTGGCACCACTTCCCTTGGAATCATACAGTTCAAGCAACGCTGAACCGACTGCCGGACAGGAACGTTGTCTGGAAAACATCAGTTTTGCTGTGAACAGAAATCTTTCTTTACCAAACATTCCAAATAAATTAACATTCCTTCCCAACACAGATGCCTGTTATGAGAAAAAGACATCCAGCCTAAGCTCTATTGACTGTATTATAGAACAGGGGAGGACTAGTACAAATAGCTGTTGTGATGCAAATGGAGAAAGTGATGGAAACAGACAAGAGCAAGTAAAGAGCAGTGATTGCTTGGTGTATGCTAGGTATTACAGTGCTGCAGAGGTAGACAGGCCTTCTTATGTGCCTACGTTGCCCCAGGTTTCAAGAGACGACATGCTGTTCTCTTCTTGTCCAGCAGTTGTACAGGTAAATATGACAGGCTTTAAATAAACATTGTTTATGCTATTTCCTGTGATTGTGACTCTGTAAATACACTTGTGAATATTTTTAATTGAATTCAAAGTATTCTAATGTATATCCATTGCTGTACCTTGTGCAGTTGTAAGGTAACTTTGACCTTCAGGTGGCTGTTTCTGTTAAACAAAAGCAAAACCCAGTAAAGGACAGTCATACTAGAATTTATAGCACTGCTCTCCACATTTGTATGACCTTTCTTTGTTGTAAATGTGTGCAGAGAAAACATGAACCTATACTGGCAGGGTAGAAGGTTTATCACAGAGTGCAATGTTATATACTTCCTTTATCTGTGATGGATCTACGATTATAAGTGGTTGAATGAATTGCAGGCACCTGACAGAATACAAGTCCCTTATCAGCCTTACTGCAATGTAAACGTTTTAAGAAAAGCAATAGTTCTCTTCAGAACTGAAGTGCTGACATTTGTCTTGACAGACCAGGCAACTTTTAGTTGCCCATAGGTGATTGTTACTGATCCGTCAGGTGTTTGGACCTCAGCGGACACCATCAGTAGACTGATTTCCGGGGGGGGGGAGGCTGTTGATCAAACTCTGTCTTTTTTTCCCTATCAAGGATGTCTGCTGTAAACATTGCAATTCATAATTGCAATGTATATTAACAAACATGTCATAAAACTAGTGGGGAAGATTAAAATATTTCATGGTAAGATGATTTGCAGATGTCTGACTTTCATCTGTTTGTGGGGAAATTCAGATTCTTTCAAGCAGAGTCATTCTTCAGAATTTGTCGGATGAGCTTACCACCCCTATATACTGTTACAGATGGCCTTGTGCTTTTGAAATAAAATGTACTTTTGTATTCTTTGAATGTATTGTATTACCTTATGGTATGCTGTAACATGGTTTGTTTAATCTACTCTGGGAACTTTCATTTATACTATTTGAGCTGTGTTAGCAAGTAGATTCACACTCGCATTCATCTGGGCTGATGCTCTGGTCTAGCAGCCAAAACCTCTGGTGTATAGTCACGGATTCCACACAAAGTGTTGACCTAAAGCATAAAAGTAAATATACATAGTCCAATAGGCAGTCCTGCAAAAGGCTAGCCAAAAATGCAGTTTGCAAAAAATCATGTTTTTAGAAGTTGAATTGAAAAATATAATTTGATTCATATCCTGCTTACAGGTAGCCTTCCAAATGTGTCTTGGGACATTAAAGTGGACCTTTACCCCCTTTGACTACAAATCACATTTTTGTTACACTTCCTGGTCCACTTTGGCACAAATGATGTAATTGTGCCCAAGCATTGCATCATGGGAAAGTTACATCAGCAGAGCATTGTTGTGAAATCAAATCTGTAATCTCATGAGATCTCAGGGAAAGGCATTTTCCTTCCCTGAGATGATGTGCATGGTCACATGTCCTAGTTACATGTGCCAGAGTTCCAAGAATGGAGATCTAGTAACCTGCTGTTAGCTAAAATGGCCACTGTCAGACAGTATGCAAACAAAACAAAAAAAGCCAATTATCTAGAAGTATCTGTTAGTGCAGTGGTTCTCAACCTGTGCAACCTCAGGACCCACATTTGTCCTCGGTCATTAAGTCGCGACCCAGGTCGCACTGCAATGGAACGCACAGCAGTATGGGCTGCTGTGCTGGAGCTCCATCCATATGTGCATTACTTGTACAGCTCCCATGAGCGCCTGTACAGTAGCTGGGAGCCAGAATGTGATGTCATTACAGTCCAGGCACCTCTACAGGACATGCAAATGAGCTATAAGCAATGCACGTATGGATGGAGCTCCTTCATGGCCATACCCCCAGCCCACCGCACCTCGAGTTGACACTCGGTGCCGGGCAGCATAATTTGATTGGCTGCTCGGTGTAAGAATGGACAGTGCTGCGCTAGGGGGAGGCTGTGGAGCCTCTCACCTAGAAAAGTGGAAGGCATACGGCGACCCACTGAACACGGGGTCGCGACCCACTTTTGGGTCACGACCCACCAGATGAGAACCAAGGTGTTAGTGGATTGTCATTACTAAACATTTCTGAAGGTGCCTTTGTTGTTATTTTGAAGATATGGGTAAAGTTCCTCCTTAAATGATAGCTGTGCTTTAAGTACAGTTTTCCTTAGTATGCCCAGATTTCCTCCTCCCCTTTTAAAGCTATACATGGCTCGAATTTTGGCCAATTCTTGCTGAATGAGCTGAAATTCGAGCAGTTGTGGCCCTGCCGGCCGAAGAGTAATTGCATCATATCAGAGGTGCCAGCAACTGTCTGAATACAATAGCCAGCTGTGCAGATTCCTCCATCCTTGCTGTCTAACATGAATGGGGGAAATAAGTAATTCCTTAGGGCTGAACAAAAGAAATCAACGTGTTCCTAGCTAGCCTTAGTCTCATACTTGCATGTCCCTGCTCCACTGATATATCCACTGTACGGTCCATTGGGTGCCACACAGCTTTTTCTTAAAATTCCCTGAGCTGGGCTCTTCTCTGCCAAAATCTCTTTTCTTTACTATAGAAAGGCGGTTCAAAACTTGTCTGTGGTCTGCCTTTTCTTAGTAATGAATGAAGATTGCTGTGCGCATACACAGGAATTAAGTATAAGATTTGAAATGGGTGCTGGGGGAGGTTGCCAGGGCCTAACAATATCCCAATATGTATCTGCATGGCAGAAGGCTGTCAAGGCTGCAAGTAACCAGGAAGTGAATATGTTTTTTGTTTTCAAATTATCTTCTAAATGTTACAGTTATCCTTCAATGTCATCAGCCTTCCTCCACCTTAGCTTTACAGGAAACAATCTTTCGTAAAACTATGCATCCCCTGATCCTTCCGGACCAATGTTTTTCCTAGGCCTTATGCACATGGGTGTCTGGGGATTCCAGCCTCAACAACCTGCAGATTCTTGAGGTAGGAATTCCAGGTGTGCCCATTCAGATGCGGCCGATGTGCCCATTCAAGTTAATGATGGTGACAGCGGGCGCATCTGTCCATTCAGAGCTGTAGCTAGCTCCTTTTGCGCCCGAGGCAAGAAAAGAAACTTGTCCCATCCCTCCCAACAGGCATGTGATGTCACCCAGTGCCTCGCACGCGTGGCATCATGTGATGTCATGCGCCCCACCTCCAGGATGAGTTTTTTATTTTTTATTATTTTTTATTTATTTTGTATTATTATTTTTTATTTTTTTTTACTGGTGGGGGGTGGCTTCTGAGAAATATTAGGGGTCTAAACAACCCTTCTGATATTTCCCTTTTAAAACAGAAATTGAGGACACAAAGCCCTCAATCTCCTTTTCTGCAGTCTCTGTTCTAAATGAATAGAAAGTACAGATGCTTTTCATTCATTCAGAAAATATTTACTATCAAGCAGTTTTCTGAATGGGGAGAAGCCTCTGTACAGAGTGCTACTCCCCATTGAGAAACTCATAAATGAACAGTAAGTGATGTAAAGTTCATTCATAATTGGGGACACATAGTACTATGTGTCCACAGTTATTTTTACTGGAATGAACAGCTGATCGCTCCAGCGTTTGCTCTGCACAGAGGATTGGTACATATCGCTGCAACAGCAGCATGGTCGAGCTGTGCGGAGGGAGAGAGCCGCCAGCTGTCAGATCCTGGCTGAGCGGCTCTCTCTCTCTCCTCACTGCTCGGCCATGATGCAGCCACAATCACCATGTCATTAACTTGAATGGGCACAGTGGCTGCATCTGATCGGGCACCTGGGGATTCCTGCCACAAAAACCTGTGGATTCGTTGGCAGGAATCCTCAGGTTTTTGTGGCAGGAGTCCCCAGGCACCCATGGTCATGAGATCATATATGCAGTCATAGCTGAGCAAAAACAAAAAGAGAAAAGGAGAATACTGTCCATAATTATGTGTAAATGAGCATGAAGATATTTTCTCAGGAACCATAATAGTATCTTAGCATTTGATCTCTGTACAGTTGTCTTTTCTAGTCAAACTTTGTGCCCATGGCAGACTTATTGTACCACATCTGTTGTAGAAGCATGTGCACTGTCTTTAGCAAGTCCTTTGAAGAAAATCCTTTCAAGCACACCTTTTTAATAGACTGTGTTATAATTGTTTCTGTATTGCTTTATAGATTTCTGACATCCACGTTACTGGAGAGTCAGAAGATATGTCAGCCAAAGAAAAACTTCTTCTTTGGACAAAGCAAGCTGCAGAAGGCTATAGTGGAATTCGCTGTGAAAATTTTACCACATGCTGGCGAAATGGACGACTCTTTAATGCCATCATTCATAGATACAGGTGAGTGTATAACATTGTTTGCTGCGAATAGGTTCAGGGGTGTGGAATTCCTATCGCCCGACGCCCGGGACAGGCAGTTTCGGGCGTCGGGCGAGTAGTTTTTTTTCTACATTTAGCCAGGCTGCGGGCAAGCAGCACGGCTAAATGTAGTGTGGGAGCCGTTTTGTACAAGTGGGTTTCGTACAAGCCACAGAATCACACACCACCGCCGATCGCACTGGCGGTGCCATTATTGTCTAATGGCAGCCCAGTCACGCCTGGCAGATTGCGCGGTTTACCGCCACAATACCTCCCGTGCAATCAGACATAATCACGGTTGAAAACACTGCATGGTGCGTGTTGCAAAAAAAGGTACATGTACTTTTTTCAGTGATTGCCACACGGATGTAACTCCACTAAAATCAATGGGGCCGCGCAGCAACTTCTGCATGCAACCGCACACGATCGCCCAAGTCCGCACCAGCCCTAAAGGGTAAATTCACTTTCTCAGGTAATTTGGAAAAATTTAATTACCTGTTCAAATCTGGCCCCCTCCCCCTCCCGCTATACTTACCTTTCAGGCAACGGTCCTTCCCATCCGCCAATATGGGTGTGCTATCTGTAATTGCCATGTATTCTGAATTTCGCTCACAAATTGCAAGCACTCGTTGATCAGCGCAGTCACCTGACGCCACTGACCAATGAGAAGCTCTTCTTGGCACTGCTAAATACGGTTTGGGTAAAATTATAATTTTTTGTATCAGGACAAGTAGATTGTCATGAGGGACAAGTAGATCGGGCCCCCGCTTTAGTCCTTGGTCAAGTAGTTTTTTCAAAAATGTCCACACCCCTGAGGTTTCTAGGCTGTAAATGACTTGTTATCTTTCTGCTACTATTAGTATAAACTATGTTCAGCAGCTAGTTAAAGCCTGACTCCAGCTGAATCTTTTTATATCATTTTGGATAGAGCGGAGTAGGGTTAGAGCCTCTCTCTACTTTTTAGTGCCATTTGTATCTCTGTTGGGGAGATTTTCCCTCACTTTTTGTCAAGACAGGAACTGATAGGATATTTCTCAAACAGGGGCACAAAAAGTAGGACATTTGTAGTAGAGTTGGGAAAGGTGGGAACGTCTGACAATGTTTTATTTACTGTCCGTGCCTTCCTGTCCCAACCACAACCAAGTACCCTGTGTTTTGTATGGATGTTACTTGAAAAGGAAGTGAGGGGAAATCTCCCCAGTGGAATATACAGACAGAAATACAAATGTGAAAGTCTTAGCTGATCCCCGCTTGAAAACTACAAAAAAAATGCCTGGAGTCAGGCTTTAAACTTTGCCTATTGTCTAATCACCTCACTGAACTAGAGCAAGTAAATCTGCCTGGTTTAAGGCTGGCAGCAGAGGGGCTGATTTGCAGTTGATGGATGCCAGCTGTCCAATTTGCCACAGCTGATCTAACATGTTTCATAAATATCTACATATATTAATATAAAAATAAAACTGTTTGTGGTTCCCTAAACAATACCAACCCAAAACACGAGGTTTATGTGTTGCTATCCCCAAGGCTAGAGAACTAGCTGTGTGGAGGTCACTGTTATGTTTCTCTATAGTTCCACTTCAATTGTTTATAGCCTGGTGTCGTTAAGGGCTTATTCAAACCATGGCTATTGAGCTGTGTACATCGGCTTAAATCAGCCGTACATCGGCTGCCTTTGGTAAGCCTAACATGCTCTGCATGTTCGTCTGAGCCAAAGTGCAGAGGGACTTCGACTCAGCTGATCGAACATCTAGATCGACTGAGCCGAAGCTCCGCAGCTCACTCGCTGCCTTTCGCCCCTATTCACATAAGGGCCGAACGACAGTGAGTGAATAGCTTGGCGGCATTCGGCTCGGCTATTCTGCTCGTAACCTCCGGGGTACCGACCAGATGACAAAATAAGTGAATGAGAAGAATGAAAAAAAAAAAAAAGTTGGAAAAATATTTTTAAAATGTAAATAAATAGGAAAGTTAAAATATAAAGATATTTTAAAGAAGAAAAAAAGAAAAACAATTGGGCGGAGCTAGCAGTGACAGCTAGCTCCGCCCAACTGTTTCCGATTGGCCGACACCTGCCAGAGTCTTTTAGCAGGTCCCAGCCAATGAATAACAACTGGGCGAAGCCAGCCATGACGTCATGGCCGGCTCCACACAGTTATTATTGTTTATTGACAGATCAGCATCCCCAGGTCATTTGGGGACGTTGATCTGTCACTACAACTGGGTGGAGCGAGCCTGAACCGAATTGGTTCGACTGAACCGAAGAGCAGAGGAGGCCGAAGAGAGCTGAAGGATCAGCCGAAGCTAAGGCTGTATCCTTCGGCTCCATAGTGAATAACCCCCATAGTGTTAACAAGCTCTAGCTAGGAATGGAATTTATTGAAAAAAAGATCACTTAAAATGGTGTAAGGTAAAAACAAAAATACCAGAAGGTCAGGATATTCAAACCTGAGTAGATTGTGCTCAAACCTGAGAATATTGTACTCATATCCAGTCCCTCTTTTCACTTATGCCATATAGAGTTACAGTGTAATAAATTAAACATGATGGGGATGTTTTAGGCATTGGTAAACTAAATAGTTGGCTAGAGCAGTGGGATTATGTTTGGCAAGTTGGACAGCAGTAGATGACTAAGACATTAAAATGGTAGCATGAAAGATCATGCATAAAACATCTCTATGAAATGACAATATTGTTTTATTACTTGTGTTTTAATATTTGTGCACCAAATTATAAACTTAGAATTATTTTATATGTGTAGCCTCCATCCAATAAATTCCATGTTTCCTAGATGGTCATAAAACATTATACAGTAGCTGTTAATTGCGATCCCAGTGTAAGCCATGGTACTTTTTGGTAATTTGATCCTTGCAATTGAAGTGGTTGAGACTTGCTTTGTGCATTAATATTGATTATACTAATGGTAATATGAGTTGAACATGAAGAATGGAACAGGTATGTAGAAGTGAATTCAAACTGAACTCCTGATATGATTTAGTGATTCTAAAACAATCAAAGCCATTGGCTCAGCATTAGGGTCATACAACCAACATTTTCAGAAAAAGTGATCTGCAGTGGCAGCCCCCATGCTTCTCTAACTACATGTTTCCTTTATAGCAGTTTCCTCAGTAGACCTTTTCATTGTGATCTACTTCTTCCTGCTGGAGCTGCTCAGCTGTCCTCATGCCAGTGTTTAGCTGTGATCCAAAAGTGAGGATCAGAATTCAATCAGAGCTTATGGTTTGTCTGCTGAGATTATGTTACCAAATACTGGCCATATGACCAGCAACAGGGATAGGAATTTGTGTATTGTAGAGAATATGTATTTTACCTGTGGTTTCCTTTTATTCAGGTGGGCTATAATTGTAAACCAAGTTTGAAAAACCTCTTTAGAACTACTTTAGCCTAGTAGCCAGTAGTCCTACTAGGCTACTTTAGCTCATTGTAGCCAGTAGTCCGTTAAAAATAAAAACACAAATTGGGGTTGATTTACTAAAGGAATAAGAGGAATGTTCACTTTAAATTGTGAGCATTTGCTTAGCTTAGTAAATACGTTGAAGCCTTTTTTACTTTTATCATCCAGTCACTTACTAAGCAAAAATCCTGTTTTTCTAATTTATCTTTCACATAGCTCGGTAATTAAAGTGAACACATATTCATCTTAGTAAGCAATGTGAACATTACCTTTGCTAAGTGAACTGTCTATTCCTTTAGTCAGTCAGTCCACCGGCTTCTTCCAAAGCATTCAAGGCTTGTTTTGCCTCCTTTAAAGTGAAGCTTGTTCTACCCAATGAACAAATCTAATAACTTAATTATCTGGTGACCGATTTTCAAGTGTGGTGACTATATACTTTTCATAGTAAAAGCAGTGATTCATAGTAGGTTGCAGTATTTAAATCAGGTGTTGTTATGTTGTAACCTTGAACATTATACAAAGGTTTTTTGTGAGATGGTTGAACTACATGTGTTTATTTTTCTATAACCTGCCCTGTGGGCGTGTTTTTAGCGGGCCCTTTTTCTTTTGCATATTGTCTAATAAGGTAGAAGCTGTGATTATTTTCTTGGTGATGTCTGAATATAATTTATTAAACAGATGCTTAGGATCCTGACAATGCACGAGCCTGTTTCATTTATAGATGGCAGTGTTTAAACTTGTTCCCTGTACTCAGGCCTGTGCATGACTTGCATTCCATCTGACTGGAGCAGTGTAGGCCAAAACATGCACTAGCTATGCTAAGGACCTAAAGGGATTGCAAGGAGAAAGAGCTTGGATTTTGCTTTTAATTACTATGTCAGTTTTTCTTAAGAATTTTTACTTTCTGATTATTTTTACTTTCTTGGTATTGCTAAGAATAGCAAGTTTATTCTTTCAAAGACCTTTGGCCTAAGCAAAAACGTTTCTGTAGTTTCTAATGGCATACCATTTGCTTCTCCTAATATAACCTATAATCAAGGGTGTCCCAGCTTCTGAAACTGCTTCTGTGTAAATTAAAGCTGAAATTTGGGCTAAACAAATATTAGGCTTAATTTGCAAAGCTAACACCCAAGGATAAGAACTTTTATATTAGCCATGTGACTGTTATTTTCAAATCTCAAACTGTTTAAAATAATCCTAAACAGGGAGGGGGACTGGTTTAAAAGAGGTGTTAAAGAGGCCATTTATGTAAAAATAGATTGGAGCTAAATGATACAAATCATGTGCAGCAATTTAGATTTTTGTACTTTGTGATAAATGTATACATTTTTTGATACTGCTCTGCTACTCCGATCCTTATTTGTAACCACTGTGATCTCAGACTCTCTGTGGGCTTGGATATGTTTTTTTCTACTGAAGAGGGGGTAACCTGTGTAGAGGTAGGCCAATGATGGGGGCACAGCAGTAGTCAAGCCAGAGATAACAGTAGTAGTGAATTAGTAGGTTGGTGGTGTCATTGGTATAGAAGGGATGTATTTTAGAAATGGGAGGGAATGATAGTGCTATAGCA